TGGGTCAACATGAACGCTCTGGTAGGTTTTGAAACGAAACTTTTCATGCGTTTATTTCTATCGCTCTGGTGGGCTTTGAGAAAGTGTGTTTCATTACAAGCTTTTCGTTGAACTATTGTTGCGTATATTATTACTTCTGTGTGTGTTTGTTTGTGTGTCTGATATATGGATATTTCCTCGTTTCCTTCCAGACTGTGATTTCCGTGGCAGCCCTCGTGGCTAGCGGCAGCGCCTCCTTGCTTGCGTACAACGGCGTATATGGAGGCCATCACGGTCTTCTTGGCGCCTATCCTTATGCAGGTTATTCTGGTCTGCACCCTTACTCATACGCAGGTGTCCTTCCTGCAGCTGCTCATCTCAACTTGAAAACACCTGTGGTTAACACCCTGGCTCCTGCTCCTGTCTCCTACAACGTAGCTCCCTTCGCACCTGTAGCACCTGTCCAGTCTCAGTACCACGCTCAGGATGAGCTCGGTCAGTACTCCTTCGGTTACGCCGGCGGTCCTTCTTCACGCGCTGAGTCTCGCGACGCCTTCGGTGTTGTCCGTGGTTCATACAACTACGTGGACTCTGAGGGAAAGGTTCAGACCCAGCACTACGTGGCCGACGCCCTCGGATTCCGTGTGTCTGGAACCAACCTTCCAGTGGCTCCCGACGCCCCTGTAGCTGCTCCTCTGGCCGCCCTTCCCGGTCCTCTTCCCGAACCCGTCCAGGACACTCCTGAAGTAGCCGCCGCCAAGGTCGCCCATCAACAAGCCTACGACGAAGCTGCAGCCGCCGCCGCTGCCGCCCCTGACACCCGCAAGAAGCGCTCCGTACTTGCGGCTCCTGGTCTCGGCGTCTACTCTCCTCTCCGTTTCTCCTACGGCTTCTCCACTCCCCTCCACTACGCCCACCCAGCACCCTATGCTTCACCTCTTCACTACACTGCCGCCCATCCCGCCCTCACCACCTACAACGCTGCCCACGTCCCCACCACATATGCTGCCGCCGCCGCCGGACCCGCTCTCCGTGACGCCGAGCTCCTGCGTGTGGTGCACAACCCCGGCCACGCCACCTCCTACCGCGTGCTCAACTGAGTGCCACCTCATTCACTCACAGTCGCTTGTGTGGACTTGCTGTGTAGAGCACTCGTCTCATCCTCACCTTTAACCAGCAGACATGTCCTCAGGAATTACTTGGCGATACATGATGCCTGTAAATGGTGTTTTTAAGTCGAGTGTTGACACTTCCCATGTTAGTCCACGCAATGTAAAAAGCAATCATGTAACTCACAATGTAAGATATATTTCTCATAATTAAAAAGCTTTGATAAATTATCTGTGCTTTATCCTATACGGCTCTCCCCAGTTCTACGTATTGATAAGATACTAAATAGGTAAAATAAACAAAATAGGGTAAATGAAAGAAATTATAATTTCGAATCCTTCCTGGATTTCATATACAGTCCTAAATAAACTCTAGTAGTTAAAACTGTCTCCTTCAATAAATACATATTTCGTTTTTTTAAATACCATAATATCAACAAGCAGTGCCCCCCACCCTCCTTAAGGGATTCAAAGCAAGCTAATGCATTTCATAAGTGAAAAAAAAAACATACACAAAAAACGTTTAATTAACAGAAGAGACACCAGTTTGTAAATCCTCCTGAATTCCTTCTACAGATCTGAAGATCAGATCTGAGAGGATTTCGAAACTGTTATTTCTTCTTTCAACAATATCCTATTGTGTATGGTGTTTTGTCATACCTCATCCGAAAGTCCTTGTAAACAATCCATATATTTTATAATGAAGTGAGTATTGTCCAGTCTTACAAATATCAGGTAAGCAGAGATATAAGATTGGTAAATGATTATCTTTTACTTATATTTTCCAAGACCTTAGAATTACTATTCGTTTCGGAACAATTACTTTTCAGCGAAGAGGTAAATCAGCTAAGTTGACACTTTCCATGCGAACCTATTTAACCAAAGTAAAGTATCCTTGCATGTCTTTATTTAAAGAATTATGTCTAATGAATAACTCAATGGTAAATTAACATCCGGAACATACTGTACTTCTAGAACAAAGAATGTCAATATCAGGAAAACTGTAAACATATAATGTGTCAAATTAAGAAAATCTTTCTATCGTCTCATCGCGAAATTCGTTATACGATAAACAAGCGTCACCTGCTTTTCATCTTGGCAATGTCAATGTTCTTCCTTATTATCTAGAAACTCGTCAGTCCATGACATATAATACACCCAAAGGGAGAGAATCACAAAAAAAAATCGCGTCTAGTTAGCGTCCTTTGTGATAATAGAATGGAGTTTGATTCATTTCGGTTTTGTGGTCTGAAAAGGAGTGCAGACTGTCTCGAACTGGTGTTTCCTTTCTCAGCGCGGATGTCTCATGTTGTGCTCTCAAACTTACTCTTGTCCTTCGTGTCTTTAAGACGTCGAGTTATGTTCTTTGACGTTCTAGATTATCTTTAATCAGTTATATATGTGTTGTGCAGTCAATATAATGCATAGAAATGCAAGCTCATATTCTACATACTGTTTTAAAGTTGTTTTTCATATTCAATTGCCTTGTCGCCATAAGCCCTTAGCATAAGGATCTTTCCAACAAAGTATACAATCCTTATCCAATATAAATATATATATACCCCCAACAATGAACCAAATCAATAGTAAAATTTTATTGTTTGATCATTCTATTCACCTATGCAAATCACAATAGTATTTTTAGTATACGGAAATTAGTAGAATAGCTTATGTACAGCATTTACAAGACATTCGACTGGTGAATTCTGGAAGTCATCTATTATTTCTATATATTGGACATAGCATAGTACATATCGTAAATAAATATTCATGTTTTTATGGGAAGCTCAATTACAAAAATATTACAGGCACGAATGTCAATTACAATTATTAATTTCTTGCTTTATAAATAGGTAAAGAATAAAGATAACACAAAATTATGATAAGCAGCATTCTGAACGAGTTCTTCTATATCTTTCACGATCACTTTACATACCTCTTCGCATTCGTTCAGTATCTACACTTGTAGGCATAACCGGATGTGGAAGGCAGAGCCCCGCCCATCCCATGACGGTCAGGACGTCCACAGGTATATAAGGGACGGCTGCCGCTTTTCCAGACAGACAGCTCCTCGACGGTGGGTCAACATGAACGCTCTGGTAAGCTCTATGACATGGAATTTTCTTGTGAATTATTCAGTGACATCTTTTCCACATCGACAAAATATAATTTCATAAATGTTTCTGATAAATGGTTTTACTTTTCAGACTGTGATTTCCGTGGCAGCCCTCGTGGCTAGCGGCAGCGCTTCCTTGCTTGCGTACAACGGTGTATATGGAGGCAATCACGGTCTTCTTGGCGCCTATCCTTATGCAGGTTATTCTGGTCTGCACCCTTATTCATACGCAGGTGTCCTTCCTGCAGCTGCTCATCTCAACCTCAAAACACCTGTGGTCAACACCCTGGCTCCTGCTCCTGTCTCTTACAACGTAGCTCCCTTCGCACCTGTAGCACCTGTCCAGTCTCAGTACCACGCTCAGGATGAGCTCGGTCAGTACTCCTTCGGTTACGCCGGCGGTCCTTCTTCACGCGCTGAGTCTCGCGACGCCTTCGGTGTTGTCCGTGGTTCATACAATTACGTGGACTCTGAGGGGAAGGTTCAGACTCAGCACTACGTGGCTGATGCCCTCGGATTCCGTGTATCCGGCACCAACCTTCCAGTGGCTCCCGACGCCCCTGTAGCTGCCCCTCTGGCCGCCCTTCCCGGTCCCCTTCCCGAACCTGTCCAGGACACTCCTGAGGTAGCCGCCGCCAAGGTCGCCCATCAGCAGGCTTACGACGAAGCTGCAGCCGCCGCTGCTGCCGCCCCCGATACCCGCAAGAAGCGCTCCGTCCTAGCGGCTCCCGGCCTCGGCGTCTACTCTCCTCTCCGTTTCTCCTACGGCTTCTCCACTCCCCTCCACTACGCCCACCCAGGATCCTATGCTTCTCCTCTTCACTACACTGCCGCCCATCCCGCCCTCACCACCTACAACGGTGCCCACGTCCCCACCACATACGCCACCGCCGCCGGACCCGCTCTCCGTGACGCCGAGCTCCTCCGTGTGGTCCACAACCCCGGCCACGCCACCTCCTACCGCGTGCTCAACTGAGTGCCACCAACTCATTCACTCACAGTCGCTTGTGTGGACCTGGTGTGTAGAGCACTCGCCTCATCCTCACCTTTAACTAGCAGACATGTTCCCAGGAATTACTTGGCGATACATGATGCCTGTAAATGGTGTTTTTAAGTCGAGTGTTGACACTTCCCATGTTAGTCCACACATTGTAAAAAGCAATCATGTAAATCACAATGTAAGATATATTTCTCATAATTAAAAAGCTTTGATAAATTATCTGAGCTTTATCCTATTCGTCAATCCCCAGTTCTACGTGTTGATAAGATACTAAATGGGTAAAATACACAAAATAGGGTAAATTAAAGAAATTATAATTTCGAATCCTTCCTGGATTTCATATACAGTCCTAAATGAACTCTAGTAGTTAAAACTGTCTCCATCAATAAATACATATTTCGTTTTATTATATACCATAATATCAACAAGCAGTGCCCCCCCCCTCCTCCTTAAGGGATTCAAAGCAAGCTAATGCATTTCATAAGTGAAAAAAAAACTTACACAAAAAACGTTTAATTAACAGAAGAGACACCAGTTTGTAAATCCTCCTGAATTCCTTCTACAGATCTGAAGATCAGATCTGAGAGGATTTCGAAACTGTTATTTCTTCTTTCAACAATATCTTATTGTGTATGGTGTTTTGTCATACCTCATCCGAAAGTCCATGTAAACAATCCACATATTTTATAATGAAGTGAGTATTGTCCAGAGCAAGAGTCTTACAAATATCAGGTAAGCAGAGATATAAGATTGGAAAATGGTCATCCTTTTGTCATATTTTCCAAGACCTTAGAATTACTATTCGTTTCGGAACAATTACTTTTCAGCGAAGAGGTAAATCAGCGAAGTTGACACTTTCCATGCGAACCTATTTAACCAAAGTAAAGTATCCTTGCATGTCTTTATTTAAAGAATTATGTCTAATGAATAACTCAATGGTAAATTAACATCCGGAACATACTGTACTTCTAGAACAAAGAATGTCAATATCAGGAAAACTGTAAACATATAATGTGTCAAATTAAGAAAATCTTTCTATCGTCTCATCGCGAACTTCGTTATACGATAAACAAGCGTCACCTGCTTTTCATCTTGGCAATGTCAATGTTCTTCCTTATTATCTAGAAACTCGTCAGTCCATGACATATAATACACCCAAAGGGAGAGAATCACAAAAAATCGCGTCTAGTTAGCGTCCTTTGTGATAATAGAATGGAGTTTGATTCATTTCGGTTTTGTGGTCTGAAAAGGAGTGTAGACTATCTCGAACTGGTGTTTCCTTTCCCAGCGCGGATGTCTCATGTTGTGCTCTCTAACTTACTCTTGTCCTTCGTGTCTTTAAGACGTCGAGCTATGTTCTTTGGCGTTCTAGATTATCTTTAGTCAGTTACATATGTGTTGTGCAGTCAATATAATGCATAAAAATGTAAGCACATATCCTACATACTCTATTTTAAAGTTGTCTTTCATATTCAATTGCCTTGTCGCCGTAAGGCCTTAGCATAAGGATCTTTCCAACAAAGTATACAATCCTTATCCATTATAAATATATATATATATATATATAAACCCCAACAACGAACCCCATCAATAGAAAAATCTCAGTGTTTGATCATTCTGTTCACCTACCCAAATGACGATAGTATTTTTAGTATACGAAAATTAGTAGAATAGATAGCGTATACACAGCATTTACAAGACATTCGACAGGTGAATTTTGCAAGTCATCGATTATTTGTATATACTGGACATAGCATAGTACATATCGTAAATAAATATTCATGTTTTTATGGGAAGCTCAGTTTAAAAAATATTACAGGCACGAATGTCAATTACAATTATTTATTTCTTGCTTTATAAATAGGTAGAGAATAAAGATAACACAAAATTATGACAAGCAGCATTATGAACGAGTTATTCTATATCTTTCACGATCACTTTACATACCTCTTCGTATTCGTTCAGTATCCACACCTGTAGGCATAACCGGATGTGGAAGGCAGAGCCACGCCCATCCCATGACGGTCAGGACGTCCACAGGTATATAAGGGACGTCTGCCGCTTTTCCAGACAGACAGCTCCTCGACGGTGGGTCAACATGAACGCTCTGGTAAGCTCTACGACACAGAATTTTCTTGTGAATGATTCAGTGACATCCTCTGAACTCGACAACATATAATTTCATGAATATGTTTCTGATAAATGGTTTTACTTTTCAGACTGTGATTTCCGTGGCAGCCCTCGTGGCTAGCGGCAGCGCTTCCTTGCTTGCGTACAACGGTGTATATGGAGGCCATCACGGCCTCCTTGGCGCCTATCCTTATGCAGGTTATTCTGGTCTGCACCCTTATTCATACGCAGGTGTCCTTCCTGCAGCTGCTCATCTCAACTTGAAAACACCTGTGGTTAACACCCTGGCTCCTGCTCCTGTCTCTTACAACGTAGCTCCCTTCGCACCTGTAGCACCTGTCCAGTCTCAGTACCACGCTCAGGATGAGCTCGGTCAGTACTCCTTCGGTTACGCTGGCGGTCCTTCTTCACGCGCTGAGTCTCGCGACGCCTTCGGTGTTGTCCGTGGTTCATACAACTACGTGGATTCTGAGGGAAAGGTTCAGACTCAGCACTACGTGGCTGACGCCCTTGGATTCCGTGTGTCCGGCACCAACCTTCCAGTGGCTCCCGACGCCCCTGTGGCTGCTCCTCTGGCAGCCCTTCCCGGTCCCCTTCCCGAACCTGTCCAGGACACTCCTGAGGTAGCCGCCGCTAAGGTCGCCCATCAGCAGGCATACGACGAAGCTGCAGCTGCCGCTGCTGCCGCCCCCGATACCCGCAAGAAGCGCTCCGTCCTTGCGGCTCCCGGCCTCGGCGTCTACTCTCCTCTCCGTTTCTCCTACGGCTTCTCCACTCCCCTCCACTACGCCCATCCAGCAGCCTATGCTTCACCTCTTCACTACACTGCCACCCATCCCGCCCTCACCACCTACAACGCTGCCCACGTCCCCACCACATACGCCACCGCCGCCGGACCCGCTCTCCGTGACGCCGAGCTCCTTCGTGTGGTCCACAACCCCGGCCACGCCACCTCCTACCGCGTGCTCAACTGAGTGCCACGGCCTCATTCACTCACAGTCGCTTGTGTGGACCTGGTGTGTAGAGCACTCGCCTCATCCTCACCTTTAACTAGCAGACATGTCCTCAGGAACTACTTGGTGGTACATGATGCCTGTAAATGGTGTGCTAAAATCGAGTGTTGACACTACCTATGTTAGTCCACACAATGTAAAAAGCAATCATGTAAATCACAATGTAAGATAGATTTTTCATAAACAAACAAATATTCTAAATTATATTTCATTCATCCTCTCAACTGGTTATCTGCTTATCAAAATAGAACATTTCAGCAGTGTTATATTCACTTCTAATAAGTACTTTAAACAAAATATATAAAGTTTGGTCAGAACAAAAACTTATATATAAACACAATATAAACAATTGCTACTGAATCCCCATATATTTTAGCATATATTTAGAAACATTTTAACTTGGATTACTATTGAAACTTTGTGTGAAAATATAAGTGTAAAGTATAAATGTATTTGATTAAATCAAAAGGCAGACTTACATTTCTAAAGACAATATATGGTAAATAACACCAAACAAATAAATGTAATATAAATATCATTCATTTTTATATAGCACTTCAAACAATATATGTATATTCATATATATATATATAAAAAAAAAAAAAAAAAAAAAAAAAAAACGTTTAGTGAGAACAAAACCTAATGTTCCCACATAACGTATATAAACACAATACATACAACTGACTATCCATTTATTTTGGCATATCTTTTAAAAAATATAAACTTCAATTAGCATTAAAACTATTCATTTTTGATGAAAATATAAATCCGCAAAATCGAGTGTTCACCCTTTCGTAAGCAATGAAAATAGTTTCTCATATTTCTAAAGAAAATATATGGTAAATGACACCAAATAAGAAATGAACATTATATCAAATAAATATAATAAAACAATATCAAATGATATCCTGCAAGTCATCCCATTGTCACTTATCTCTGCGAAACTTGTCATATGTTTAACTCATCGCATGAGCTTCTTCAGCTACGTAATGTTCAATGCTGTTCATTTCCTAGCGTTGGCATATTCTGCACTTCGTCAGTTAAAGGTTCATGTATTATATGTCTCAAAGCCATTTTATGGCCAGTTTCAAATGTTGCTATGCATGTTTGTCTGCTTGTGGTAGTCTAATAACACAAAATATTTCATAGACTTCTACGACACACAATTTATTTTAGTAATACATTCATACGTGTTGCTTGTGTAGTTATTATATTCCCTTCAAAGTATAGAATCCTGTAAATGACATCATTAAAATAGTTACCAAGATACTGGGACACTAGTGCTTGAGTCGATTAACAAAGCCGTTGCATATTTTGTGGGACATTTGAAAACACGCCCTCATATCCTAATGCCCAATACTATTATCAAAGTATGCTTTTATTTCCATAACCATAGTTTCGACATGAAACTGTTCACAATTTCTCTATGCATATTATTCACCTCATTTGGAGAGAACTCGTGACACAAAGGTTGGGAACCTCTTGCTTATGATGTTAGTGTTCCTACACAGCATACTAGAACCACTTCCGCCAGTCAGTTATTTATTTGTGTTGCATAATGAGCATCATATTTCATTTATTCCTCCTGATTCAACACTTGTCATTTTGACAGGTATGACTATAAATATATCGATAGCAAAGACATGCCTTATGGCGAAAATGAATTGCCAAACTCCAAAGACAATGACAAAAGCACAGTGTTTGAAAAATGTATATATATTTTTTTTTATTCAGTTTTCAATAAACAAGAGAAAATGTAACAAGACAGGTACATGAAAACTACTATCACGCATTTTTTTCCATGTAGTGCATAGACTTTGCATATTGTATATCTACGTTTGGCGTAAGTGTGATTCTGACTGAAGACCCCAGTAAAAAAATTATAACGAAAACTTTCTTCCTTTTCTAAAGAATATATATATTACAAAAATGCATACATATATGTTTCTATATATATTACATATATACATACACACGTCTATATATATTACATATATGCATACATATATGTATACAGACATAAATGTTATATAATCTAACACTCATTTTCACAATTCTTCACACCATTCTTTCTAGATTCGCAATTTTAGATGTATCCGGATGTGGAAGGCAAAGCCCCGCCCATCCCATCGCCATCGGCTGATGGTCAGGACGTCCACAGGTATATAAGGGGCGGCTGCCGCTTTTCCCGACAGACAGCTCCTCGACGGTGGGTCAACATGAACGCTTTGGTAAGCTTTACGACACGAAATTTTCTTGTGAATATTTCAGTGACATCTTTTCACCTCGACAATATACAATTTGAAAAATATCTGATAAATGGACTTCTTTTCAGACTGTGATTTCCGTGGCAGCCCTCGTGGCTAGCGGCAGCGCTTCCTTGCTTGCGTACAACGGCGTATATGGAGGCCATCACGGCCTTCTTGGCGCCTATCCTTATGCAGGTTATTCTGGTCTGCATCCTTATTCATACGCAGGTGTCCTTCCTGCAGCTGCTCATCTCAACCTCAAAACACCTGTGGTCAACACCGTGGCTCCTGCTCCTGTCTCTTACAACGTAGCTCCCTTCGCACCTGTAGCACCTGTCCAGTCTCAGTACCACGCTCAGGATGAGCTCGGTCAGTACTCCTTCGGTTACGCTGGCGGTCCTTCTTCACGCGCTGAGTCTCGCGACGCCTTCGGTGTTGTCCGTGGTTCATACAACTATGTGGACTCTGAGGGAAAGGTCCAGACTCAGCACTACGTGGCTGACGCCCTCGGATTCCGTGTGTCCGGAACCAACCTTCCAGTGGCTCCCGACGCCCCTGTAGCTGCTCCTCTGGCCGCCCTTCCCGGTCCCCTTCCCGAACCCGTCCAGGACACTCCTGAGGTAGCCGCCGCCAAGGCCGCCCATCAGCAAGCCTACGACGAAGCTGCAGCCGCCGCCGCTGCCGCCCCCGACACCCGCAAGAAGCGCTCCGTCCTTGCGGCTCCCGGCCTCGGCGTCTACTCTCCTCTCCGTTTCTCCTACGGCTTCTCCACTCCCCTCCACTACGCCCACCCAGCACCCTATGGCTCTCCTCTTCACTACACTGCCGCCCATCCTGCCCTCACCACCTACAACGCTGCCCACGTCCCCACCACATACGCCGCCGCCGGACCCGCTCTCCGTGACGCCGAGCTCCTCCGTGTGGTCCACAACCCCGGCCACGCCACCTCCTACCGCGTGCTCAACTGAGTGCCACGAGCTCACTCACTCAGTCACTTGTGTGGACTTGTTGTGTAGAGCACTCGCCTCATCCTCACCAGTCGAGTGTTGACACTTTCCTTGTTAGTCCACACAATGTAAAAAGCAATCATGTAAATCACAATGTAAAATATATTTCTCATAAACAAATATTCTAAATTATATCTAATTCATCCTTTCAACTGGTTATCTGTTTATCAAAACAGAATTTCAATAGTGTCATATTCACTTCTAAATAATATATTTAAAGTTTGGTTAGTACAGTACGCATATCATATATAAACACAATATAAACAATTGCTACTGAATCCCCATGTATGTTGGCATATATTTAGAAACATTTAAATTGGATTACTATTAAAACTTTATGTATGAAAATGTAAATGTAAAGTCGAGCGTTTACACTTTCCATGCTTGCCTTCGTAAGCAATGAAAAATGTATTTGTTTAAATCAAAAGGCAGACTTACATTTCTAAAGAGACTATATGGTAAATAACACCAAACAGCAAATAAATGTAATATAAATACCATTCATTTTTTATACTCCAAACAATATATGTATATTTATATATCTTGATAAAAAAAAGAACAAAACCAAATGTTCCCACATGACGTATATAAACACGATACATACAATACGGGTTCCCCTCATGGGCATAGCCCGGGCGAGGCTCTGCCTCGCAAATCAGACAAAAAAAAATACGTACAATTGAGTATCCATTTATTTTGGCATATCTTTTAAAAGATATACCCTTCAATTTGTATTGAAACGATTTTTTATGAAAATATAAATCCGCAAAATTGAGTGTTCACCCTTTCCATGCAAACCTTCGTAAGCAATGAAAATTGTTTTCCATATTTCTAAACAAAATATATGGTAAATGACACCAAATAACAAATGAATATTATATCAAATAAATATAAAACAATATCAAATAATATCCTGCAAGTCATCCCATCGTCACTTATCTCTGCGAAACTCATGTGTTTAACTTATTTCATAAGCTTCTTCAGCTACGTAATGCCCGGTGTTGTTTATTTCCTAGCGTTGGCATATTCTGCACTCCGTCTGTTAAAGGCTATATTATATGACTCAAAGCCATTTTAGGCGGGGAAGCACTAGAACCGTGATGTTTCTGGGTAAACTATCCTATTCAGATATCAGAAAGGACTTTGATACATTTCGTTATTATTGCTTTTATCTATCTATTTTTTATACGTTTCCTCAAATTAGTGTTTCTTTTACCAATACAAATATTTCCTGGTCAGTTTCAAATGTTCCTATGCATGTTTGTCTGCTTATGGCAGTCTGATGACACTAAAAATATTTCATAGACTTCTACGACACACAATTTACTTTAGTAATATATTCATATGTGCTGCTTGTGTAGTTATTATATTCCCTTCAAAGTGTATATTTCTGTAAATGACTTCATTAAAATAGTTACCAAGATACTAGGACACTAGTGCTTGAGTCGACTAACAAAGCCGATGTATATTTTGTGGAACATTTGAAAACACGCCCTCGTTTCCTAATTACCATTACTATTATTAAAGTATACTTTTATCTTCATCACCATAGTTTCGACATGAAACTGTTCACAATTTCTCTTTGCATATTATTCACCACATCTGGAGAGAACTCGTGACACAAAGGTTGGGAACCTCTTGCTTATGATGTTAGTGTTCCTACACAGCATACTAGAACCACTTCCGCCAGTCAGTTATCTATTTCTGTTGCATAATGAGCATCATATTTCATTCATTCCTCCTGATTCAGCACTTTTCATTTTTATCAGGTATGACTATGAATATATCGATAGCAAAGACATGCCTTATGGCGAAAATGAATTGCCAAACTCCAAAGACAATGACAAAAGCACAGTGTTTGAAATATATAAATATATTTATTTTTATTCAGTTTTCAATAAACAGGAGAAAATGTAACAAGATAGGTACATGAAAACTACTATCACGCAATCTTTTCCGTGTAGTGTATAGACTTTGCATATTGTATATCTACGTTTGACGTGTGATTCTGACTGAAGACCCCAGTAAAAAAAAAATAATAATAAAAAAAAACAAAATAGATTAAAAAAAAAAAAAAAACTGAGACATGAAAATGAATTATAACTAAAACCTTTTTCTAAAGAATATATATATTACATACATGCATACATATATGCATACATACATGTTTATATATATATTACACATATACATACATAAATGTTTATATATATATTACATATAATCATACTGTCATACATGTTATATAATCTAACTCATTTTCACTATTCTTCATACCATTCTTTCTAGATTTGCACCTATAGACGTATCCGGATGCGGAAGGCAGAGCCCCGCCCATCCCATCGCCATCAGCTGATGGTCAGGACGTCTACAGGTATATAAGGGACGGCTGCCGCTTTTCCCGACAGACAGCTCCTCGACGGTGGGTCAACATGAATGCTCTGGTAAGCTTTACGACACGAAATTTTCTTGTGAATATTTCAGTGACATCTTCGCCGCTAATGACCTTAGTTGTTGACGCGGCATATAATTTTAAATAATCAATCAATCAGTGATATCTTTATACCTCGACAATATACAATTTCAAAAATATTTTTCTCAAATGGATTTCTTTTCAGACTGTGATTTCCGTGGCAGCCCTCGTGGCTAGCGGCAGCGCTTCCTTGCTTGCGTACAACGGTGTATATGGAGGCCATCACGGCCTTCTTGGCGCCTATCCTTATGCAGGTTATTCTGGTCTGCACCCATACTCATACGCAGGTGTCCTTCCTACAGCTGCTCATCTCAACCTCAAAACACCTGTGGTCAATACCGTGGCTCCTGCTCCTGTCTCCTACAACGTAGCTCCCTTCGCACCTGTAGCACCTGTCCAGTCTCAGTACCACGCTCAGGATGAGCTCGGTCAATACTCCTTCGGTTACGCCGGCGGTCCTTCTTCACGCGCTGAGTCTCGCGACGCCTTCGGTGTTGTCCGTGGTTCATACAACTACGTGGACTCTGAGGGGAAGGTTCAGACTCAGCACTACGTGGCTGACGCCCTTGGATTCCGTGTGTCCGGCACCAACCTTCCAGTGGCTCCCGACGCCTCTGTAGCTGCCCCTCTGGCCGCCCTTCCCGGTCCTCTTCCCGAACCCGTCCAGGACACTCCTGAAGTAGCCGCCGCCAAGGCCGCCCATCAGCAGGCATACGACAAAGCTGCAGCCGCCGCTGCTGCTGCCCCCGATACCCGCAAGAAGCGCTCCGTCCTTGCGGCTCCCGGCCTCGGCGTCTACTCTCCTCTCCGTTTCTCCTACGGCTTCTCCACTCCCCTCCACTACGCCCACCCAGCACCTTATGCTTCTCCTCTTCACTACACTGCCGCCCATCCCGCCCTTACCACCTACAACGCCGCCCACGTCCCCACCACATACGCCACCGCTGCCGGACCCGCTCTCCGTGACGCCGAGCTCCTCCGTGTGGTGCACAACCCCGGCCACGCCACCTCCTACCGCGTGCTCAACTGAGTGCCACCTCATTCACTCACAGTCGCTTGTGTGGACTTGTTGTGTAGAGCACTCGCCTCATCCTCACCTTTAACCAGCAGACATGTCCTCAGGAATTACTTGCTGATACATGATGCCTCTAAATGGTGTTTTTGAGTCGAGTGTTGACACTTCCCATGTTAGTCCACAATGTAAAAAGCAATCATGTAAATCACAATGTACAATATATTTCTCATAAACAAATATTCTAAATTATATTTAACTCATCCTTTCAACTTTACGAAATAGAACATTTCAATATTTCCATATCCATCATTATAAAATATTTCAAACAATATATGACATGACAAGAAAAGAAGAAAAAAAGTTTGAGCAGAGCAAAGATCTAATGTTCCCTTATAACGTTTATAAAGACAATAAATACAATTGCTGCTGAATATCTTTTTTTTTTCTTCTTCTTTTATTTGATTTAATATTGAAACTTTTTATCTATTTTATGAAAATTTTAATAAGCAAAGACGAGGGTTTACACTTTCCCTGCTAGCGCCCGTAAGCGGTTTTTTTTTTTTTTTTTTTCCTTTAAATCAAAAGACATACTTCCAAATACAATATATGGTAAATAATTCAATATCAAATGAACATAATGAAGATATAAATGTAAATTTATATATATCCTGCAAGTCATTTTATCGTCACTCATCTCCGTGAAACTTGTCATATGTTTAACTCATTCCATTAGCTTCGTCAGCTACGTAATGCTCAGTGCCGTTCTTCCTAACGCTGTCATATCCTGTAATAGTCGTCCATCTGTTATATTTTTCAAGTCCTTAGACTTAGTATTCGTTTCGGAACAATTACTTTTCAGTGAAGAGGTAAATCAGCTAAGTTGACACCTTCCATGCGGCCCTATTTAAGTAATGTAAAATCTCATGACTCTAATAATTATATTTAATAAATAACTTAATGGTGAATTAGCATCAGAACATACCGTGCTTCTAGAACAAACGCAGACTGTAACATGTATGTCAAAATCTCTCAACATTCTAGATTCTATTTAGCTATATATATACATATATACATATATATGCATTGCGCAGTCAATATAATGCATGTAATTGCAAGCACATAACCTACATACTGTTTTATAGTTGTCTTTCATATTTAGTTGCCTTGTTGCCGTAAACCCTTAGCACCAAATGCACTAGGATCTCCTCCATTACAAAAACGATACCCTCAACAACGAATCACATTAACAAAATTTCAATGATTCAACAATTTATTCACTTAAAATGAGCAGTAAAGAAAACTATGCAAATCTCGATAGTATTTCCAGTATACATAAAATGGTAGAAAAGATAGTTCATATACAGCATTAACAAGACATTCGGCTGATGAATTCTGGAAGTCATCTATTATTTGTATATAATGCACATACCATAGTACATAGCGTAAATAAATATTAATGAAATTGTTTTTCTTTTTTAGGAAAACAACTGAAAGATATCACTGGCATGGAAATCAATTACAATTATTATTTTCTTGCCTTATAAATAGGCAGAGAATAAAGACAACTAACCCTAATGTATTTCAGGGAATCTGCACAAGTTTAGATAACAAAATCATCACAAG